AGCCACCACGCCCGACCTCTTTTTTTTTTTTTTTAATTTTTGAGACAGAGTCTCGCTCTGTCACCCAGGCTGGAGTGCAATGCTGTGATCTCAGCTCACTGCAACCTCTATCTCCCGGGTTCAAGCGATTATCATGCCTCAGCCTCCCAAGTAGCAGGGATTATAGGCGTACACCACCACACCTGGCGAATTTTTGTATTTTTAGTGGATATGGGTTTCACCATGTTGGCTGGGCTGGTCATCTTCAACTCCTGACCTCAAGTGATCCACCTGCCTCGGCTTCCCAAAGTGCTGGGATTACAGGCGTGAGCCACCAGCGCCCGGCCCCGGCTCTTATTTTCTAAAGTGAACATGTAGGTTTTTAAAACTTAAAAAAATGTGCATTTTAAAACTCATTATATACCTGAAAGAGAACTTCCTTATTTTAACTTCTTGTTTGTCATTTTATTAACTAAACTAGCAAACATCCAACAGGAACATAGCTCAAACATGTTCTCATGAAGATCTGTTTCCTACCTTTTGAATACACAGGAAAATATAGTAGAGCACATCTGGGTCATAGGGTTCACCTTCTCCATTTCGAGCTTCCCGTGTCATTAGACAGAGCCCATAATTCAACTCTGCCACAGCAGAGGAGATGAGATCTTCCTGGAATCGCAGCAGTTGGCGCCCTGCAACGAAAGCCCCAAAGATGAATGGAGGTCCTGGCAACCCAGGACGAATAGAGGTCCTGGGGGTCCATATCTGGAAGGCTCAGAACACATACTGCCCATGAGGGTGCTGGGACAGAAATGGTCACTTGTATCTACTGTAATGTTTCACGCCTGTAATGTCAGAACTGACCTATCATGTGAGTATATGAGCCTAATGCCAAGAAAGAACGGCTTGAGTGAGTGCCTACTACCTGGTTCCCATTTCCTCCCAGAAGCCACTGTGTTCAGGTCTGGTAGGGTCAACTCCTGAAACCCGTATGTCTAAAAATGCCTGGTTTTGCGCAAACCCCACACATCCTGCTTATTATGTACACAGGGTCAGTACTGCTTGTTGCTAGGACTGAATTCAACATACTATTACAGATGTTGCTCTCTTTTCCCCCAGACAGGGGATACCACTTTTCTGCCATTTTGTCCTCCTGTTACTTCAGTACCACTGCATTTTAGACAAGAGCCCACTCTTCTTCCCAGACACTCACTCCCAATGGGTGCCAATCTGTTCTGAGCATCCTTCTCTAATTCAGCATTCTTGGTCTGGGCCCAGTTTTTCCATACTTCAAGCCCTTCTTCTGGCTTCAAAGAATTTGGAAGCAGAAGTTCTGGGGAAGGCTGTGGCTGTGACTGTGGTTCAACTTCAGCAACCTGGACAGTTTGAGCCTATAGGAAAGAAACCATGAAAATGTGTCAATAGTGTTTTATATTAGATCCTTCAGCAAAATTGCCAGAAAATTGTTATGTGTAGTTCATTTATTTAAGAAAATATTTCTCTACTCCTTGCTGTCCTACTTTTAAGAAGTTTTGCAGTTCTACCTCCTGCCCCAGGGACAGCAAAAGCAGCACTGCAACTGGGCTAGTGCAGTGATTCTCAGCTTTGGCTGCACTTTTAAATGTTTTTTTTTTTTAGACGGAGTTTCGCTCTAGTCACTCAGGCTGGAGTGCAATGGCACAATCTCGGCTCACTGCAATGTCCGCCTCCCGGGTTCAAGTGATTCTCCTGCCTCAGCCTCCCGAGTACCTGGGATTACAGGCATGCACCACCATGGCCAGCTAATTTTATAATTTTAGTCGAGACAGGGTTTCATCATGTTGGTCAGGCTGGTCTTGAACTCCCAACCTCAGGTGATCTGCCCGCCTTGGCCTCCCAAAGTGCTGGGATTACAGGCGTGAACCACCGTGCCCGGTCAAATCTTTTATTTAAAAACACTAATAGCCAGACTTACCCCAGAATCTCTCTAAGGGGGAGCAAAGTATCAATCATATAAAAACTCCTCAAGTAAGATTGCGCCACTGCACTCCAGCCTGGTGACAGAGCGAGACTCTGTCTCGGAAAAATAAAAAACAAAACAAAACAAAACAAAACAAAAGAACTCCTCGAGTAAAAAAGTAATTCTAATGTTTGGTCACCGCTGAGAACTACTGGCTCAAAGCACTGCTTCCACAGTCTTTTTCTTTCTTTTTTTTGAGATGGAGTCTCGCTCCTGTAGTACAGGCTTGAGTGCAGTGGCACAATCTCAGCTCACTGTAACTTCCACCTCCCGGGTTCAAGCAATTCTCCTTCTTCAGCCTCCCGAGTAGCCGGGATTATAGGTGTGTGCCACCACACCTGGCTGATTTTTTTATTTTTAGTAGAGACGGAGTTTCTCCATGTTGGCCAGGCTGGTCTCGAACTCCTGACCTCAGGTGATCCACCTGCCTCAGCCTCCCAAAGTGCTAGGATTACAGGCGTGAGCCACTGCACCCGGCCCCCACAATCTTTAATGTGCAAACAAATCACTTGGGGATTATATCAAAATGTATATTGTGATTGAAAAGGGTGGGATCTGAGACTCAGCATTTCTTTTTCTTTTTTTTGGCAGGGACAGAGTTTCGCTCTTGTTCTTTGGATGCTGGAGTGCAATGGCGGGATCTCGGCTCACCTCGACCTCTGTCTCCCAGGTTTAAGCGATTCTCCTGCCTCAGCCTCCCAACTAGCTAGAATTACAGGCATGTGCCACCACTCCCGGCTAATTTTGTATTTTTAGTAGAGATGGGGTTTCTCCAAGTTGGTCAGGCTGGTCTTGACTCCCAACTTTGCAATTTCCTACTTTTTGAAATTCTTTTTTTGAGCAAAGTCTTGCTCTGTCACCCAGACTAGAGAGCAGTGGCATGATCTTGGCTCACCACAACCTC